CCAACCCTATAGTGGGAGAAGAGCCACCAATTTCAGTCATGCAGTGTCGTCGGAGAACCCGCACTTGACACAATTATATCCACATCTCCGCGGACTACTTAAACCTTTCCTGAGTGTTCCTCAGTGAAGATTACACAATTCCGGCACAATACTGGATGCCCTCGGAGTCACCCAACAGCTACGGTCCCCGCTTAACTTTTGGCATGGGAACCTCGGTACGATACTAAGACCGGAACACAACTACGCAGAAGCCTAAAGAAGCGTTGGTAGCAGATTGGGCAACCCATCGGTTATAGAAAGGGACGAAACCGTATCTGTAACCAGCTAAGTCAAATGAGCCCTCACCTTCTGACACCATAAAAGCCTGTCCACCAATTCTTTCACAGCTGAAGTATCTCTCTGAGATGAATACTGAAACAACGATGGGTACCCTCATTCGTTTCTGGACCACCATCCAATCGAACCTCAGAACGACGAACCAAATTTCACCGATTCGACCGACCATGTTCATGACCGAGCACACACGGTGTCAGGTAGCCTCACCGAATGCTTCCACAGTGAATACCAGTAGATCAGCATGTTTCCGCAGCATCACAAGGATACCAACCCTAGGATTCCCCGCATTTGTGATGACCTGTCAATGCGGGATCTAATATACTGGCGTTGAATCGTTGTACATCCTGGTTATTTCTTACCGTTCATTAACGGACCCAACGCCCTTAAACTGTGTACCGAATGCCAGATGCGATTAATCTGGTGGCTTCAAGCGTCATGTAAGATTCTAAGCCGCTCAAATCTTACGTTTTACGTGAGCCTGTAAGAGCACAAACCGGACAGGAGTCGAAATTATGGACACACTAGATAGTTTTGGATCATCAGTCCTTTATGTGGGATTACCTGTATAAACTGCAGATTTGCCCCAGGTATATCAGAAAATCAAAATAGGAATTGTGCACAACTGCATTGGGATCCAGGCTCTCTTCCAGCCCTCCCAATACCGTCTAGTTAGACAGACTCCACAGACACCAAGATCAGATAATTGAATCATCGCCTCGTGACAAAGACTCGAAAATCCCTAATGCTCGCTGGTCATCCTTTGAGTCTGGCTCAAAACAGAGTTCCCAACGCTAAAGTGTTGCTGTAGGAAAGGGAATGAAAAACACCAAAACCGTTTTTGTTTTGAACAACCATAACAGAAACTAGCGTTCTCTTCCTTCTCACGAAATGAATGACCGTTACTTAATTATTGTTCCAGTGCTCCATAGCTATCTGTCCTGTTGGTCGATTTGTTCGGTAAGCCTGGTAACTTTGTAGCACATGTGTTACTACCGACCGAGGTGAGAGGATCGGAGCGTGAGCTGAAGTGGTTCGGTATGTCGTTGTGTGTGTAAGTTCAAGCAAACTACTTCAAGGTGTGGTGATTTTCTGGCTGAGCAGTTCGAGGAATACACAGTAGAACGCGCTTAATTGTGGTCCCTGATGGCTATATTTCCAAAGCAAAATGGTGGTTGACTGTCAAGTGAGAAGCGCCCGTGGGATTCGTACCTAGTGCTGAGCTTTACTCTCGCAGAGCTTGCATGTTAGCTATTGATCCAATCGCAATATCCGTCTACTGAAATACGAGTTGAGACGAATTTGCTGGGAAGCAACAGTTTAGGTATCAGTAAATGTCATGTGAGTACTGAGACAAATACGCGAGGTAGAATAATTTCATTTCAGTTTCACGTTGGACAGTACGATCGTGTGGCGTGGGTTCGCCCACTGAGAACCTCACCTCTAGGAGCACTACATCTAAAGCGACCTTTGGTCGACCGCGCCCAACTTCCATTGTGATTCGTACCGAACGAGTGGCAGTCATTTTAATAGCAGTAGTGCGTGCTGATTTTCCTACGCTATCCAAACTCCAAGTGAGACAATGTAGGCGACCTGACATTAAAAAATGAAAATGGAAAGTGCGTAAGGTCCCTTCCGGTTTTACACGGTTCACATTTTCAAGGTGACAGTTCAGATCCTCGTGGTACAGTACACTCCCCTTTCAAATTTTGAGGCGATCGAAATGCTCTTTATAAGTCGGTCACGGCAACCGAACCATACGAGTGTTTTTAATCGGAATTTAGCGCCCAGTTTAACTGAAATATCCACTTACTTGAGAATGCTGAAAGTGATTCTTAATCAACTGTCCAATGTTTTGAGTATGCGATAAGTCCAGGGCTGCGTCCACCTCGTCCAAAATATACAGTGGTGCGGGTTTAAACAGCAACAGGGCAAGAATGAGAGAGAGTGCAGCAAGGGATCTGGAAAAAGGGTGAAATGATAGCTCAGGGCCATTGCTACGGTTATGAAATACACAAGTTGCCTGCGCAAACACAAAATATGGTAGAACCCCCTCCCCCGAACACGGAGAGCAGTTGAAGCGGTCTTGGTTAAGAGGGAGGCAGAATCTGTCGACTGCACTAGCGAACAATAGTTCAATGATACGCTGAAAACTGCATTAATAACGTGGACCCTATTTTCTGAAACAAAACAATACAATAAAAACAGCAAAGATAGCGAACTATCATAATCGTTAAGAAAGTCACCATCGTACGAATGCTAACTGGAATTGTGCCAAAAACCACCTTCCACACAAGTCGCGCACACTTCGCTTAGCCAGTGAGAAGCTAGTGGACCCAGAAGTCAAACGAAACTACCAGAACCAGCTCCTCTGAAGCCTGCCGGACAGAACGGTGTCGGATATAAACGACCACAGGGGAAACATTATCCAAAGTGCTACTCAAAGCCGGAATGTCTGTTTGCGGTACAACCCAGCCAACCCCATCCAAGCATTGGATCTCTGATAGGACCGTATCTTTGCTGGAGACCCGGTGACAGATTCCATCTGGTCGCCTCCACAGCACCACCCGGCGCATCATCCGACGCCAGGTGAAACTGAGTGTTCGCGCAGACCGAGAAGCTTGGTGGACCCAAAAGGTCGAAGAAATGGAAGATGCAAAGAATGCTGAAAACGTGCGCAAATCGTTCCACTTGATTCTTTTGACTGGTCCTCGGAAACCTCTTGTCAACGAAATAATCAGGGACCAAAATGGCTTCCTGATATGCGGCAAAGCAGAACGTTTGGACCGCTGGGCACGGCACTTCGGGCAGCAATTCAGCTGGCCATCTGCCACCTCCAATCCAGAAACCTGGCGTTCAACAGAAAGGTGGACCGTAAATATGGAGCCGCCTTCAGTCTCAGAAGCGTCCGAATGCATTTCTCTACTCAAGTGTCATCGTGCCGCTGGTCCTGACGACCTTCCACCTGCATTTTTCAAGGATGGCGGTGGATTCCTCAGCCAGTGCCTGTCTAGCCTATTTGAGTCCATCTGGGAGAAGGAGACGGTCCCAGAAAACTGAGGTGAATCGATAGTGGTGCCGATTTTCAAAAAGGGTACTCGCAGTGAATGTAACAACCACAGAGGTGTTAATTTGACGCCTGTTGTGACAAGGCTTCTGGCGTCTTATGGCGGCACGCGAAGTCTTGACTCGTGAGAATCAAGCGGGATTTCGACCGGGTAGAGGCTGCGTTGACCACACCTTCACACTCCGTCAGGTGTTAGAGCAACGCCACATGTACAGACGACCCACAATCCTGGTATTCCTTGACTTCAAGGGTGCGTTCGATTCTGTTGATCGATCAGTTCTGTTAACTACACTTGCTCAACAGGGTATGCCCCAGAAGTTTGTAAACATAATCCGATCTCTATATTCACATACTTCTGGGCGGGTGAGGGTGTATGGTGAGCTCTCCAAAAGCTTTCCTACAAAAAGTGGTGTCAGACAAGGATGCCCACTCTCCCCATTCTTGTTCAACTTCGTCATCGATGAAATAATGAGGCGAACACTGGACGGTTTTCAAAACTCCGGTGTTCAAATTGTTGCTGGCGAGAGCCTTGTCGATCTGGAGTACGCAGATGACATCGCCCTCATCTTTGAAGACCTTAGCGAAGCACAAGCCCTGTTGAATAAACTGACCGCCATCATACCATCATTTGGCATGCGCCTTGCACCTTCAAAGTGCAAAGTCCTGCTTCAGAACGTGCCATCTGCGAACATATCCCTTACAGTTCAAGGAGAACCACTGGAGATTGTGGAAAACTTTACATACCTCGGTAGTTGTATTAGCTCTGACGGAAGTGTGTCTGATGAAGTCAGTGCAAGAATCTCAAAGGCTCGAATCACGTTTGCTAATTTGCGTCACTTGTGGCGTCAAAAAGGCATCTCACTGGATCTTAAGGGTCGTGTGTACCAGGCTACAGTAAGGGCTGTGTTGTTGTATGGGTGCGAGACATGGCCTCTTCGGGTAGATGATGTGAGACGTCTTCAGGTTTTCGACCACCGATGCCTCAGAAGCGTGGCTGGCTTTGGATGGCGTCAGCGTGTCAGTAACGAGGCGATTAGAAAACGGGTATTTGGTTTTGCTGCAGGCACGTCAATCCGGGAAAACATCCAGCATCATCGACTGCGATGGCTCGGTCATGTGCTACGCATGCCGAAACACCGTCTACCGAGACGAGTGTTGTTCTCCGTGCCTCCTTCAGGATGGCGCAAACCGCGAGGTGGACAGCACATGACTTGGCAGAAAGGCGTCAAAGAGAGTTTGGGTGTTGTTCGTGTTGTACGCCTCCCAGGATGGGGTCCTCGTGACCCCGTCTGTGCTTGGCTGGAGACGTTGCAAGAAATGGCGGCTAATCGATGTCAATGTCGTTCTTGCTGTCAGTTTCTTTCCAGATTGTCTGATTGAGCGGTTGGAGGTGTAGGCACCTCAGTATGCTTGACTTAGTCCAGCACCAGGTCCCCTCCCTCACCCACTCTTTTTCTCTTCTCTTCTCTGTGGGGCTTTTAATACAATTATATATATAACTAGACGAACCTTATAGTTGTACGGTAGTGAAGCATCAGTGGCAACACTGATGTTGCTGTCTTTGGTGATGATGATGAATAGCGAGCGACTGCTTTAGCTATGTGCCGAACACAGACTATTTTGAAAATGCACTAACTTCCGAAATAACCACAGTCATCTTGGCACATTGCACACAGCGCGCCAGCCGACGACGTATATGATATACTTAGTAGTACAAAATGAAATCATTGGAATCGCCATCTCTCTTCGGGGGAATCGCACGCTAAGTCGTTCCTTTCGGCGAATGATGTTATGCATCCTCAGGGAAAGCACATCTATTCGAATGAGCCTCGTGAGTGCAACAAGTTGCATCAATATGTAAGTTGTTTTTTAATACTCACGGTTCTAAAAGTCACGTAAATGAGGGCGGCGACGGTGTCGTACATTGTGCACTAAGCGGTTTCTGTCTGAACATTAGTAACCAATACTCTACACAGAAAGCTGGAAGCTCCCAGGTGAATTAAAAAAATGTGTTACATAGCTGACCTGCGAAGTTTACCGCATTGTTCATGTTATGTTTGCCCTCTACACTGCGTATAATGGGGTTTCGACATTTCATTAGGACAACAAAATGGACTCGAATATCATAGCAACTGAAAAATGAAGCGGCTTGGTGCAACACATTCAGTTGCTGAAAAGCAACGAGAGATTCAGCTGGGTTCTAGATAAGTTTGCCGTCAAAAACAAATTGGTGGGTTTGCAAATGAGTGTATTCCGCTAAAATGGAGTTTAGTTCACCTACCTAGTCTTTAACGATGAATACCGCTGCTCTTCAAGACAGTAACCGTTCTTTGAAGGGGTCAATTTTTCATACATTACTGTGATATTTAAGTTTCATATTTGGAAACAAGCTTGTGTGTTGCGATGAATCACGTACCTGATTGGCTAAGAATGTGGAAAACACATGAAAATGGTCTTCGTTGAGAGAAAATGCATCTTAGAGACAGCTAGGGTGGTCTTTGTTAGGAGCTGAGTGGTGGTTCCTCAGAACGCACCAATTCTTAGCCGAACCTTACGATACCGGAGTAAAATGGTTTCAATTTCAACGGATAGTTGGTTTCTGTTGGAGGGAGGTGAATGGAAAGGACTACTGTACTCTGCTCGTTCGTCTCAGTATTCTCGTAAAAAGACCAAACTAGTCAGCCTAGAAACCAAAATGGAAGTTCCGAAATTCCCGCATTATTGATAATGAAGTTCGATCATTAAAAAATCTCATATTCGCTCAGAACGGAATCCATAATAATTGACCCGTTGTCTACAAGAGACTCCAGGATATGTCCATGAAAATGCGGTCGTTTTTGCTGAGATGAATTTACATTTACAATTAGGTTCATCAACGGAGGAGTAACGTCTTGTGGTTTTTGTATTATCAACACTCACCAAAAATAACAAACGGGTCAGAACTACGTCGTGCAACAGTATTCAGAAGGTCAGATTCCTGCCACTGAATGCGTGAGACATTCAACTCCACTAGATGCTGACCAGACAGACAACGCTCCCTCAATATGCAGCTTGTCACAGACTTGTATCAAAGCTAGACAGCGAGTCGGCGTTGGACCAAGTTCAGACAGTGTCCCTCCAATAAAGTAACCTGATGCCGTTGTATTTTCGGCACTCACGCTCTCGCACACGCTTGTTCGCAATAAAGCTGTTATGTTCCCTTTGATGAGTATTTTTTCCGGCACTGGGCACAGGAGCGTGTAGTCAGATACAACAGGTTGGCGAATCAACAGATGTAACCAGACAGTGACCTTGATGCTAGAAGGCTATGCAATTATTATTAAGGGTCAACTTAAATCAGTGGGCTTACTGTGAACCATGGATCTAAGGTGGACGGTATCTGAGTGTTGTAGTTTCATTCACGCACAGTAGAGAATGGGGGGAACAGACTACTTCGCAACCCTCTACGTATTTGCAGATTTTGCATTGGGCCGATAAACGGTGCACTAGGTCGAGTTGGATGCCCATTTGAGGCCGAAGAGGACGGCTATAGGTGTTCGACAATGAGTATGGGGATGCACAAGAAGTTACCATATCATTGTTGACCCCAAGATCACATGGGACCCAGTTTACACGGTGTCACCGTTCATGTGCGTTTACGCACAAAATGAAAGGACAGTCAGAGCGACATATCTGTTATTTACACGCAGCTGCAGTAATGTGTAAACGTGGCTGGAACGCCACTATGTGTCATATTGAGAATATTTAACATCCTTGCATAAGCATTTCTGCATCATATTTGGACATCAAAAATCGTGACTAGTGATTTGGCTTTCACTACAAACCCTGATTAAACGCTGAATAGATGGTAGCGACTAGCGATACCAGTACCCGTGCACGGCGGTACTGTCGGTCTATCAGGAGGTTCGGCTCCGTTTACTGATCGCTGTTAGTCAGCACTAATCACGTTCGCGACAGTCTACGAAGCTCTGAGCAGATGCACCTTTATGACATCTCGTATTGTGTACATCCTAAAGAGTTCCTCTTGGTTTTTGTCGCAGTTAAGCAAAACGCTTATATACCTACTGATCAAAATAGTTTCGAGCGAAGTGCCAATAAACTGTTATTTTGACTGCATAGGGATCACTTCACTCTATTTCCTCTAGCTACCTGAAACAACGAACGTCCGGTCTGAGGCTGCTACTTCCGATAACCATCATTCAGATGACAGCAATCTCCCCCAATCGGTCACAGGCATTATTTCAGTTTCCATACAGACGTCAAACATTGCTTAAAAGTCAATAGTACACTAGACCGTGTGCCCGCTATCCTAGCTTGGTGTCTTTTTCATAACGGGGATTCGAACAATTAAAAGTGCGCACATTGGGATACTCTTTACATCTGAGGCACTTGTGGGTGGACGACATGGCGCAGAGCAGCCACTTCCTAAGAGCAATATCTCCTAAATTTCCCTCAAAGTAAGCCACCGTGGCCGTTCTGAAACCGTATAAATGCTGATCACCCGTAGAAAACATTTCAGTTTTCAGACTTCAATATCTTCTAAACCTCTTAGGATGTTTACACAATACGCTACTCATAACAACATCATAAACGAGAGAATCAGATGAGTTCTAGGTGCGTCTCCCGTCAAAACTAAAGTGGTATACAGATGAGCGCATAAACTTTAGGATGGTGTTTCTCCCAAAATGTGGAAATATTGATGGAGTTTGCAGTGTCGTCAAAACAGAGTTTTGTTAGTCAGGACATTTCAAAGATGAACTAGGCAAAAAACCGACCAAAAACGTAGACGGGGTCCTTGTGTTCAACTCCTGATTCTGTTCATGATAGTAGCGAGGATAGGCTCGCCTAAGTCTTTCAAACGCAGACTCAGCACTGGTTTATTAAGCAGTCCAACTGAAGAACTTAGAACTATTGCACTGAATGTTAGAAATGAACTCACCGCTGACCCCCACTCAGTTCACTGAGGGAATCTTTCCATACATCACCAAAGGCCACCTTGATCTCTAGACCATCCAAAACCGTCATGTTCTCAGGGGGAAGGAGTCGAGCTTTGCTCCCCGGAAGAAGTGTGCCGAAGATATTACAAAATTCCTGAACGAAGAAAGCGGAGCAAGATAATGAGACTGTTTATAGGGTGCAGATGCATTAACAGCTCCTTCTAGAAAGCAACTCGCTCCGCCTAGGTACCAAGCGTGTGGATGAGGTCACTATCACTCCTTTAGCAAGTTATACTGGTCGTTGCATGCTGAAATGGACCCCGTATAAGCCCACTTGGCACTAAAGTTAATGAAAAAAGTCAGTTCCGGTCAATCCACCTGGTTCAGTTTTCCCGTGAGATTAGTGTGGCGTATGCACCATCGTGAACTGCGGGCACCGAAGGCTTTGATTTCGGGCACGACTAGGAGTGGAATCTTCCTTTTTCAGGATCTATTTTCATCGTTTTGTCTTGTACAGACATGTTTCAACATTATCGGTCTGTTGTAAATCAGTCATTGATGTGATCCTGTTGTGAGATCGCGGTGCTTGCGCTTTGAGACTTACAGTCTGCGGAGGCGATTCCCCATTCCGTGAAAACCGGTTTTGATCACAAAATATGGGAAATGTTCGCTATCAAGCCATGCAGATCTACACTTCGACAATTCGACTTCCGAACGACTGCAACAAAGCGCTTAGGAAGCCCATTTGGCTGGAAAATTTCTGAAATTAGATATCAAGTAATCAACTGGAAAAGTTTGGAACCGGTTGAGAAGTTGTCGTTCTGAAAGGGCCTACTAAACAGTTGGTAGTTTTACAGCTGGGAATGTTTCGCCTTTGATGCAAAGGGTCAGTCAGGCCAAGTGAGCAGGCTACTAAGTTGGCAGATATTATTATGCAGGAGGAGGATTCTGAACAGAAATTTTTAGGTGGATTCCTGTACCCACCCAAGATGTTTCGGCGTAAAGTAGGTGGGACTTTCGTCGTGATTAAACGAGACAAGGTTAGTGAGTTTTACAACTATCTGAAGGGCCTGACTCCACACATCAAACTTAGTATGAAGATAGAGTCAACTTCCACTACAATACCCTTCTTAGACCGAATGACATATAAGGTCGGAGGAAAACTAAATACCACATTATATGCGAAACCCACTGACACTGAAGCGACTTTGAATTGCTCGTCTACCCATCCGAAGTCGTTATACGCCGGTATTGCTTGCCTAATGTTCAGCCAAGTGAAAGCCCTGTGCATAGAAGTTAACTGGAGAGCGATCTAAATTGAAACAACAAACTTTGGGGCAGTTAATATACAGTTAGTTTGATTAGGCATCATTTACGAAGGGTATTGGTACCTGTGGCGAAACCCAACGGGGAGTGGATTGAGACTACCGTTATTCCATGTAGACCACTATAAACTAGGGACATCCGAAGTCATCCGAAGGATTCTAAGCACGGCTAACGAAAGAGTAGCATTCCAGAAGGAAAACACTGCGCTGGTGCAATTGAAGGATCGTCTTCCGGCGAACAAAATTAACTGCTAAGTTAACACTAAAGTCTATATAGAACAGAAGGCCAGATAACTTCATACCAGAATAGACGAGCACACAAGAAAATAAACAAGCCACCGAGAAACAGATATACATCGAGTATCATTGAGGGATCCAGCGAGGCGGAACATGCACTGAACACAGGAAAAAAGTAAATTTGGAAAAGGTTGGAGTTTCGGGGCTGAGACTACGGTTCACGTCACAGAAACTAGTGGCCGAGGCGGTGGAAATCGCTAGGCATCCCAGTTTGGATAGAATGGAAGGCGTAGCACCGGCAAGCGTGTGGAGAGTGGTTTTAGACCAACGGAGCTGGCAGGTGGTGGTGTGCAGCTATCAGCAAACAGGAGTCATCAACAGAAGTAGCTTAGACATGAAGCGCATGAACCAACTCGATCGAAAAATCCATCTTATCTCACATATCTCAACTAAGTTACCGCAACACTTAGTAACCCATACACAGGCAAATTTATCAGTGCTGCCCAAAGTGAATCACCCATTGAAGCGTCATGAACCGGAAGATCTAGGATCCTAACCCGGTCAAAAATGATTTGAAATCCCTCTAATCTATCGACCGTGAGATTTAAGCGACCACAGTAACCGATGCGAACTTTTAACTGACATTCAACACTGATGTAGTGTGCTAAGCTGAAGAGCTCCTATTGACTGGTTCTCTCTCTGCCTTAAAACCCGATCACCTTAGTAACCTACTCACTTGGCTTAAAGGAGCTTTTGTGTCAAAAGCAAAATGTTACGCAGCTACAAAGCTATTGGCTGTTTACAAAGCCCTTCTTACATATGAAATGTGTCCACTATACGCGCACAGTAAATCATATTGGCTCAATGTACATTGGAGCACTGCCTTTAGACGACACCATTTACTTCAAAGAGTATTTTTTATCAGAATTTCCATGAAGTTTCTAAATTCATTCGACTGTTCACGCTAGGCGAAAAGCCACGTGTTAAATAACCATAAGGAAACTTCCATGATCAAAGTACGAAACCACAGTAACTACGATCAATACGTATCGCAAACTCACCTCATTAACCTTGTTGTAGGCACTCATTAGAACCTCCTTTTTCCGTTTGTCCAAATCATCAATGACAGCTTGAATTTTGCGCTTATCAGCCAAAACGATCTCCTGTCGTCTTATCAGTTCGGCATACTGTTCTTCGGCACTCCCAAGCATGTTCATGGCCCGCATATTCACTGTGCGACTAAGACGTTCTCGGCGTTCCTTCAGTGTTTGTATCCGCCGACGCGCCTCGTTGGGATCTCGGGTGGTAAAACAGTATGCGCCATTTTCGACACCAAAATGTTGACGCTCCTCAGTGATCCAAGGATGTGCCGTTAACAGGCGTTCGATCTTAATTCAATTAAAATAGGCGCTTCTGTATTATTAGTGTTATTGACAAAGAGGGTTACGGTTCATAAACAGAAAAAAATGATTCCCTGCGGCGAAAAACAACAACTCACAAACAATATACGAACGATGTCTCCTGATAAAGTGCAGCAGAATCATCAAAAGTGAGTACACAACTCGTTGGAAGGTTTTAAAGCAAGCAGTTATAAGCCTAAGGAATTCAAGGGATGGGTCGCACGACATCATGTTGCCACCAAGGATGCAACCCGCTCAGCAGGTAAGAGCGGATAAATAAGGGTGTTCAGTGGTTTGTGACCATGCTGCACGAGAAAATATGCAAATGCACGATGGAAGATAACCGACCCTATCTGTCAATATTTAAATGTACGGTGAATACAAAACCTACCTTACAACCGGCTTCTTCACTTTCTTTTGTCTGTAACTCCAGCTGATGCATGAGCTTCTCGATTTGGACATTAGTTTGATTGATATTTTGTACGAGTTGGTTGACACGCTTTTCGGCAGCTGCCAAGGCACGTACTGTCTCGTCAATCAGATTGCGCTGCTTTGTGACCGCGGCTCGAGCCTCTTGCAATTCTCTCGTAGCCTTCTTTAATTCTTCAGTGCACTTTGCGACTTCATCCTCCGCTGCCTTCAGACTGGCTTCCGCCTCTTGTAAGGTCAGCTTGAAAACGATTGGAAGAATAAGTGTACGGTGCAGTATGGAGTCAGAACATAGGAAACAGCAAGCCGAATACCGAAAATGCCAATATCTTATGTTGCTGTGGAGTTTTCGTACAAGTTTGACCGAAGCGCAAAGCACTTCCCCTTTGGAATTAGGTAACGGAGAGATAACACATTACCGCCACCCTTAATGAATTCCTGATCAGAACTTTATCAGATATTGTAGACACTCCTGCTAAGAGTTGAGTAACGAAACTAGGGGATAATGGAATTGTTGGTATAAAAATAATCAAATAATGAATCGTTCAGCTGTAGCACCCTTTCGGTGCCACTGCCATGCCACCGGAAGGGAGCACGAGGGCTGAGATACTGCCAGGTTGCCCAAGCCTAGACAGGGAAAGTCGAATGCAGAGATCGGGTTTGAACGACGACCCTTCCGGTCAGTAAATTCGCGCTCTGACCACTGATCCATCTTGTTGGTATAACACACCAAAATTCACCAGCGTATAGTCTTTGGATAGCAAGTGATAAAACGAAGTTGAGTAGGTGGCGTTCATCGCTCTATCCAGAACTACGTGGGTATGACATCAACCACTATATTGTGACGTACGACATGTCTCGCCGCGGATCGCCAACTGAGGCTAAGGCAATTATTGAGGCAACTGGGTTTTCTAATCAGGACTTCCGCATCCGTTACCCTTTTGCCTGCGCCTGGACAAAAAAGGGTCAATGACTGAGACAAAGCATAGTGGCGTAATCAGCACAGTCCACAGCATTTGATACTTGAACTTTTTGGGATCCAGAAAGATGTCAGAATCTCACCTACAAAGGAATTCCGTGGAGAAAGGCAAGCTACAGACTAAGAGTATCAGTATTATTTGTAGGGCTGCCTTCCAGACCTCCGACCAAGGAGCAGCTTCGCAGCAAAGCCTCATGTGAGTCGAACTTCCGTTGAATATCTGAGACAGCCACCACAGTAGTAACTCTTTTAAAGGGAGACCATTTAAAAGTAAATAGGCCCTTGGTTGAGATGGTACAAGTACTGAGAAAATTTGGAAACTTAGTCCGTAAGCCAGCTGGCCTGTTATTGTTAGTGAATATTCCCCTTAGACAACGTGGTGCGGGATAATGGCCGCAAGTTAAACCATCAAGATATCTGGTGCTTAACATGCACATATCCCGGAGACTTCAGCACCGGAGCATGACGTCTGTAGCAAGCCGACAGAACATTCTAGCGATCAGGAAGGATAAGGTGCATAAAGCTAAACATGGTCGTGTAAGCGGCCTGCTCGAAACAGCAATCAAATTTTATGATGGAACTAAATTATTGAGAGAAAGCTCGCTTACTTTCAACACGTTCAATTCTTTTGTCAGTTCTTCCGCTTCCAGACGTAAAGTCTCTTTCACGGCTGTCTTATCTCTCAATGCGTTCGCTGTTGCCTCAACACGGGTTTTCGCTTCGGTCAGGGCAGCTTCCGCTTCATGTTTTTCTTTCTCCCTCTCAGCAGCCGCATTAACAGCCTTCGTATGGGCCTGTTCAGCTTTAGTACATGCTTTTGCTAAGCGATCTTTTGCTTGCTCCAATGCCGAAGCAACTCGCTCTAAATAGCGGGACATCAAAAACAAATAGACGGTGAGATGTGAGTTAAGGATGTGCTTCAACACAATGTGATGCAAATACAGAGTGCGTACTGTGCGAAATAACATACGGATGGAGCCGTAAGGTGTATATGAAGATGGCAATGATTGTGCAACACCAAGTTGTGAGTTCCCGATCTGTAAGTCGGAGATGCCGTCAAGTAATCTGCTGGGGATAATGAAACGAACCAAATTAACTGATTCCAGCTCACTCCAGCAGACGTAGATTTGATGGCCGAACAGGCGGGGATCTAACGGTAACCAGCCGCGCCGAAAATGCAGCTCCGGAAAGTGACTAGTTCCTTAATGCGTTGCACGAATACTCCTTTAAGAGATACAGCAGAACCTCACAGATGCGAAACAGTTGGTATGAACTGAAAGCAAAATGATACTAAGAAACTCACCCAGTTCCTCTCTAGTTGCAATCACATCCGCCTTTAGTCGGTGCTTATCAGTTTGACGTAGTTCCGTCTCCAGAATGCCCAACTGATGGCGAGCGGCGTCCAAGGCCTCCCGCAACTGCGCGATCTCTTGAGATCTTTTTCGGGCTGCCTGTAGATTGAAGTCACCGCGCTTCAATTCATCTTCTGCCTTTTGAGCTATCGATTCTAGTTGATTACAGCTGAACAACCGGGATAACAGGCTCTCTGATGCTGGTGCACGGCTGCCACCAGAAAGAGTTCCCTGATGGTAGATGGAGAGGGAAAACCTGATGTCAGGAAACATGTGTTGTTCATGTAGAAACGTTTGGTTGTTTGGCAGGAGAACAGTTGGAAATAACCCATTCGTATTATAAGTGTGCCTTGAGCAATCGAAAGCCGGTGCAATGAAAAACTTTGAGGTGAGCGTGAAGAGGAACCTTACACCACGTAAGTGAAAAACCGACACGCTTTATCGTTTTAAGAAGATAGCCCTATTTCGGAGGAACAAACAAGCTTTCATGAACCGTACAGCCATACCGTCATTGAACTGTTTCGAATAGTATGTTTTATGAGATTGTATCATCATGGGAAAAATACCACACATCGGAGAGATACTGGTTTGCTTTATCCATCGGTAAGACGTCTTACAAGACCAAAACAGTACACCGAGCACCGTCAACCAACTAGCACCACTCCCGGTTTTCGGAACAAATGTGTACTGATGTGCAAGTTTCTACTCATGCAGGCGGTCAAGTAGAAGGCGTTTGAATACTCATCACCCGCGACAGATGGTGAAAACCATTCAGTGTGTTTGATTTTGTTCGACTCAGACAAATCAGAAATCTGACGGGTCAGGCCTTATTGACGGGATGGTCATGCGGTCCATAATTACTAGGCCAAGATATATTCGGCATCCTCTACTATCTGAATAAATCCAATGGTCCGCACTTTTCTTCCACGGAATAGCCTTTTCTAAGTCTTCACTTTCCACAAAAACACAGACCACTGATCATGAAAATGAGGACTGGTGGAAGAAGAATGAAGGATTCGACGTCCCGCGCCATCATTCCTGATAAAAGATAACCGAAAGCGCACAATGCATTAAGATACGCATTAAGTTACTGGTAAAGATGTGGTGGGAGTCAGGGAAGCTAAGTCACATGCAGCTTTTCGTTTTAGTTAAGACTAATCGGATGGGTGTACAGCGAAGTGTGCGGTTGCCAAGAAATACAGAGTCTAGTGAATACAAACTGACAAAACTGATAAAGAGATGAGAAACTACCCTCCAAAAATCAACAGAACTGTTCGCTGAGAGGGAACCCCGGTTTCGACTATCCGATCAGCAACGCCCACGTGTTCTAGTCAATGCTACAGTGTGAAATAATAAGCGACTTCGAACAAAGACTGGTCGACTCAAAGTACCGCAAGGACAATCGGAAGGTGGACCATTCACGAGCAAATGTATCTGAGCTTCCGACAAAGCACGCAAAGTGCGGCGAACATTGTTGCTTCTGATCTGATAAGAACCCCTGTTTCGCAGTGATATAATCAGATTACTCTGCAGTGATGGGATTAATTTTGATCGACTTCCGGGGAAAACAACGATGTACATGCCTCTTAAGGAATAAGCGATTTCAGGCAGAGTACCATACGCCCATCGACTGGTTTGCACACAAAAAAAAACTTGAATTCGTGGGAGGCTTAGCTGTACTCAGATGTTGAAGTAGTTAGACCGTGACTACTAGAGAACAGCATGGCCACCGTATATGATTCGTTACCTAACCTCACAGAGGATTTGATAGGTAAGAAACTTCAGGTTCTGGATTTATCGGTGTAAATGTAATCGAATCCCAAAAAGCCTTTTTTGTGGCTCAGACGTTTATTTATGTGACCGGTCCATTATGTTTCATAAGGGGAAATGAGGACATGAGTAACATGATACTCAAGAAAAAAGGTTGAATCAGTTGGGACAAACCATCATCTTACCATTTGAACAGATGGTGTGGGGATCCCCATCAGGGGTATCAAATGTCGGCTACTACAAACACCTGATACCATGCGTCACAAATACCTGAAATAATACGTACCTGAGGATCAAACACATCGCCTTCCCAAGTGACGGTTCGGCGTTCGATGCCCGGGTGGAAAGCCACGCGCCTCGCCGTATTTAGGTCAGGGCAAACGAGGATGTTGCCAAAAACATACTCCATGGCGGGTTGGAGATGCGAAGGGTACTCGATCAAGGAGAGAGCAGTCGCAACATTTTGAGCCCCAACCAGAGATTCAGCTTGCCTAACAACTGCCGGAGGAATCGAGGAACCACGAATTTGGTTCAACGGGAGTATGGTAACACGACGACGAAGTTGCCCACGTTCAAGGAGTAGCTTACTTGTACGATCGGAGTCCACAACGATGTTGTACAACTGGAAGCAAAATTGGATTCAATCGTGACCACTGAAGAATGTGACAGTAAGCGACTGACTGTAGATTCAAATCAATAACCAGAAATACCCAAACGAACATTGATTGATCACCTACCCTTGCGCCGGCGGCAACTTCTAAAGCAGTTGCATACTTCAGGTCCGTTACATTAATCAGTTTGGCGACGGGCCCATAAACATGAGAGCGATCAAAGTTGGGTTCAGGTTGGGTAAACTCAAATGCCAATTGGGGGAAATTAGCTGACGCTGCGTTTGCCTGGTGTCGAGCCTCTCGGGCCTCCTTCGCCAAGGCGAACTGCCGTTCTGAAATAAATACCAGAAGAGCTTTCTGAATTGAGGGAGTACAGCAGAGTATTACTTTTTTTTTTAGAAAAAAATCAGTCACTTGTATTAGTAGTATTACAGTGGGTGACTATAATGAACACCGCTTGCTGTGATAAAAAATGGGAGTGAGAATTAGAATCCATCGACGTATGGAATGCCGATGTGATGGAAGTTTGACTATGACCAACTGCTTAGCTAGGTGCTATCCTCAATGTACTGCATATAGCTGACCAGATAGCAGGGATGTGTATACGGTATACAGGTATATCCAGGTATATACGTATACCTGTATTCATTGGTCCAAATATCACTGACCTGGATGCCAGACGGTCACACAACGAGACTATGTTGATTGAAACTATCATGCGTTGAGAAAAGTCACCAGACATCCGGCAGAATACGCTTTAATTCTGGCTAATAGGCAAATCGAACAGGAACACATGCCATGTGTGATTACAACTCTGGATTGTGCCACCTACGAAGAGTCGTATACAAGCATCAGGATTCGTTCGAAGTTTCAGAAGAGCTTGTTGACTATATGATTAACTAAGGTCGTCCTCGGTAGTCCAGTGCATCTGGAAACATGTCCAAGAGATCTGAACATAAAATTGAAAGAAAAACACGGCAACCAAAAGAGCTACTCGGAAGAAGGAGTGTTTGAGGTGAAAAATGAATAAGGTTAGAGGCCATACATAAAGATAAACGCCAAACTCTTGTGGAACCAGATAGGTGTACAGAGATCAATTAAGATAACTGGGTGCAATTATATCCAGCTATTTCATAGTGAGGGTTCTGATGAATCATTACCAAAACAGACAGCTGAAAAAAACCGGAACTTTGATAAGGCTCACCTATATTGTTTTAAAACAAGACAGTAGGGAAGGGGATGCTAGTAAGACCATTGCACAAGTCCGCTAAGTCCATTCTGTACACTGATGCACCCCTTAAAACGATTATAGCGAATTACTATGCCATCAGTGCGTTCACATTCACTCATTAATGGGAAGATAAAGCAGGCATAAGTTGATGAGAGAGGTTATCTACGTCTTGAGGGAGACCAGCGTTAGTTAGTGTATGTGGGAAAAATTAGTCATCATAGCGAACTGAGTGTAGTTGGCGATCTACTTTGGAACCAAACCGACTAGGAAAAACTCTGAACCACTATCTGCAAAGACAGCACGCCAAACTGCTAACCCAATACAGTCAATCCACGCGAAAACTCGCCTGGTGGCTTTGCCACTCAACAGACGCGTCGTAGGCACAAAGAGTTGGGTAGCCCGTGCTAGTCAAAGTTCATCTGGGTCTGAAAAACGATGTCCACAGAAATTCATTCCTAGAAGCGTTGTAAGTTACACAGACACAGAAGGGAACAGCCTAGCTGTTGAAGCCATTAGTGTCTGTTTCGAATAAGGGTGGTGTAAACCGACCTAAAGCTGTCACATTGTCGTAGTGGTCGGGCTTCATTGCAGCAGTGAACTTGCGGAATACACTGGCTGGAACTCAGTTCAACCGTGTCAGGAAGGCTGACGGAGAGCAGCCCGATGAAAAACAAGAGTACTCGTCCTGTGAGAAATCGTGCTGGGATGTAAGTCGCACGGGCCTCTGCGATAAGAGTGTGAAAACAGTAAGGTGTTTCCTTCAGCCGACCATCCTCTCCATACATATGGAGGAAGCGATCCTGCCTTCTCCTCAAGGATGGGTTAGGAAAAGTCTATCTTAAGATTCATACGTTCCGATTGCCGTGACCCCCGGCGCAATCCGCATTATGCGCCCTCGGGGCAAGTCAATATCCTGGAGCTAGGTGGGTCAGACTACTGAATCACTGGCCCCAAAATGAGTTCCTCAAGAATACCATAACAAACGCTATCTCCGGATTTAAACTTTAGGATTGAAAGCTAAGGAATAGTCGCTGAACAAAAGCTTAAATCCTCCCGTTTCCTTGTGGAGTAAGACCTTTGAATCAAAGACTCAAGGCGATGAAGCTCAACCAGACCTTCTTCTGTGGACTGAGCAACTGGGAAATACCATCAGGCTTTGCTGTTCGTTCACGGGCTCCCATCCACCAACCCATCGAATGATGCATTGCGGGTAATTTGGCAGTACCCCAGCCCTCGTGCTTCCTTTGGGTGGCATGGCAGGTAGGCACCGGTTATGACTTAGCTTTCCGTCAGCATTCGCGTGCGTGGAAGAGCGACTACACTAATGCACTTGGACCAGCTGTACCACCTCAACAATGTTGAGCTGATCTGACTGGAAATGTAGTCTAGCTGATGATGAAGACTGGTTGCAGGTTAACAAAAACCGGTAATCATCGTTCGTTCNTTGAGCTGATCTGACTGGAAATGTAGTCTAGCTGATGATGAAGACTGGTTGCAGGTTAACAAAAACCGGTAATCATCGTTCAGGTGCAACCCTCTTTCAGCCATGCCATTCGAGTAAAGCACAAGGGCTGATATACAGCTCAGTTTCCCAGGTCTAGACAAGAACAGTCGAGATACATGGGTTAGGTTCGAAGCTCGATACATCCGGTCAGTAATTTGACGCCTTAGACAATGAGCCGAATGGAAGCAAGTTAGAGGAGCTGTACTCTTAGGTTTTAGAACGGATCGTCCAAACCATCCGACTGACCAAACACTGGACATCAAGGTCAGACCTTACTGCTGACAAAAAAGCCATACCAACAACTAGAGGCTATGTTGAAGCATTGAGGTCCTGCAAACGTTAGATAAGTAAGAGCGTGAAAAATCACAGGACGCTGGTGGATTGCGAAGTCTCAGGAAATGAAAAGGGCTTTCGCGGTTGCAAACAGTCGTTTCCTATTTCAGTTGATTCAACCTGCCAGAAGAACATAAGTGTCAGCGAAGCAACTTGCGTCTCCCGGTAACCCTAAATATCATCCAAGTTTTTGAAAATGGCGACATTTCCAGAGATGTGAAGGCTGCTTTTGAGCCTACCAATTATCAAATCTTTGGTGGTGTTTGGAGATGAAAAACGTCCCTTCTAAATTTAACTCCCTTACGCGGGCAATGTACGCGGGCGGGCATGCAACACACTCGCGTGATTTCAACACATCCACTGGTGTAAGACAGGGCTACTCTCCCCACCACTCTTTTCCAACGTTGTAGTTGAAGTCTTGCGTGAAACCTCTCTATTTACTTTTGAAATCACGGGGATGAAATGCATCTGCGCAGTACGCTCACAGACAACGGGTATGTGAACGATATCCTTGGTTCATATACTCCAGAGATGGAAGCCGTCTTAAATAACTCGGATAATCCTGTCGCATGGTTTGGTGTGCGATTCGCATCCGCAAATAAAAATTGCAGCCACACGACTGAGTGGGGTGAAACCCAAACTTTATTTTGCAAGCCAGTCAGTCGACGTGGCAAATAAATTTGCTTACCTAGGCAGATGGATTGGCTGGATATGAAACTACCCCTGAATCCTGAAGGCCAGAGAAACTTTTATCATTTATCTACAACTATGGCACCGGCGCGAATTCAGCTTGTCTGACAACAGCAGGTTTGGTTGCACTTTTTTAATTCAGCTGTAGCTCCCTTTCGGTGCCTAACTGCCATGCCACCCGAAGGTTGCACGAGGGCTGGGATACTGCCAGGTTGCCCAAGCCTAGACAATGGAAGTCGAGAGGCGGAGGTCGGATTCGAGCCACGGACCTTCCGGTCAGTAAATTCGCGCTCTTACCACTTGGGCCATCTCGCCCCAACAGCAGAGTAGACACTGAGGTGGTGTACCCCACACCAGAAACGTCGCCTCTATGCAAACAGATGCTGTCAGTATGTGACCATCGGATTGGCATTGCTGGAATGGCCAGGTGGTTTCCGGAGAAATAACTTCTCGCATAATGGATGAATTACCCACAATTCATGGGTTACACTGGGTAAGACATGTGCTTCGCCTGTCGAGGGAACGTCCGCCTCGCAGGAATCTTTCCGTCTATCCCTGTGGTGAGCGGAAACCAGTGACACTGACAACAAAGCATACAAACATTAACCGGTCGACTCAGCCGGGTCGACAACTGCCTTCTCCCTGGATGAGGACCCATGGACTCGACCAATCAATGGTTAATGAAGCTGGCAGGTATGGCTAGATTACGCAATCAATGGCGCTGGTGCATCAAATGTACAGCCTTCAATGCGTAGCTGCCCACTTCCCGAACTAAATAAACATACCATCGCCTCCAATTCTTGACTGTATATTCCACACTCTTCCACTTCTCGGTGAATGAAACTGTGGTTGTAACCAATGTATTCATGGTAAATGGTTTTTGACTGACTGGTTGACCATTGATCAGGAAAAGTCGTTTGTGTGATTCCCCGAAGGCTGCTCGGGTAACGGAGGTTGCGTCGGCAAATTGTCAGACTTTTAGTGTCGCACGAGATGACAGATAGAACAACACAGTAGGTGTGCAGCTTGATCTCACTCGCAAGCTCCATTTTTCCCACACCTTTTCTCTAGTTTGTCAAAAGCCAAACTATCATCGACAATAAAGGATCACAAGTTACGAATGACGCTCAAGTCAGCAGATAATGTGCCTTCGAGGTAGTAGAAGCTCGCGCAGTAGTCAAAAAACCCTTTCCAAGGGTGTTTGGGACTCAATATGACACAGGTTGTGCAAGACGAGTCATTTTTACGCTCAGGTCGAACTGTGTAGCAGGACAACACGCTTTTCAGCTAGGCGATGCCAGCCATCATACGTATGTGCGAAAAATCAGTTATCCGCAAACATATGGATGTGGACAATAGACAGGCTACTTGCACCAAGAGGTACAATGTCATACAAACATAACACTGTACACTCACACTAAAAGCACACGGGTGAGTAACAAAATCTTGCGCACCAAAAAAAGATGTTCAGTATCAAGTGATCCACTTATGCAGCACCTATGGATGGACACAACCTATTAGGATGGAATAAATTGAGTGAATTTGACAGTGCGTCCAACTGATACAAAAACTAGGGTCTACAGATTTTCGCTAACCCAGACCTCTCAAAACATAAGGTGTTGGCAACAATGCAGAGTGCAACTTACTGTCTCAGGGAACTAGCTAGAGTGCAGTAAAACTAGGTCATTAGCTGAAGATATCACCTTTACTCGGACCGGTGGTTATTCGGTGAAACTCTTTGCAACCCATGAAGGTGGGACAAAGTTGTTGTGGTGTAATCAGAGGATAAGGGCCATTTCCGCATAAGTTGGGCGACCGAAACAATCCAAATTATGAGCTAATTGCGTGGGCCGACTGTTGATCAACCGCAGGCCGACGCAGTATGTTCCCCTTGAGATGAGTTGAATTGTAAAAAAGGAACCGAATGAAGTCGTCCTCTAATCGAACGTAGTCACTTGACAATTTGCAAACGCATGGTCCGTAGTTGTTCTTAACCAACTGGGAAAAGTTTGGAACGGATTAAAAATTCATCGTTCCGGAAAGACTTGGTAAACAATTGGCAGTTTTTAGTTGGGCGACGTTTGGCCTTTGACACACAAGCCTGATGATCCGATGAAGCTTTTGTGTCAAAAACTTTTGTGTATAATTAAAAACTACCGTCTTTTTACCAAGCCCTTCTGAAACGAAGTCGTCCTCTATAAGGAGGATTGCTTTCCAAGGAGAGGCACTGCATACAGTACGGTGTCTCCTCAGAGCAAAATGGCGAGAAAGTGAAATGTTTCGTTAGAGGAGTTTCATCGTAGGAGGCTGCCACAACCCAATCATTTACATGCAGCAGCATTTCGTCCATCACTCAGAAAACCTGAATGTGCACTTCCTCCCCTGTGTAGACCTTGTACGGTGTATGTTGACTGGAGCAGCAATGGATAGTTTTCGTACGCAACACCAAACATAGCAACATTTGCCGTACGATTCGGTCCGTTCTCGTCGTCATGGTCACTATCAGCCTCGCAGTAGATTATGCGACGGACAACGAAAACAGTAGATAGATATTAGTTCAGTGGATTTCATGACAGTGAGGTCTTTGAAGCGCTTACCATAAAGGAACACTGAGAAAACGAAAGACAGGCAATGACTGAGAATGATAAATTCATATTATAGACCACAACCGTACACATAGACATATGTACATATACAATAGCTAAATAATTTGAAGAACCAAAATAAAGCGATGTTAGGCAACAGCGAGTGTGCATTCTAGTGCATTTGGAAAGTACGGCGTGGAGGAACGTTGGTGTGCGGTTTGGTATGGAGTCGTATCGGTATGGAAGAAAGTGTTGTTGGGTGCTGCACAAATTCAAACTGTCTGGTTATGGTCCAGAACAACAAACAACCTACTTTGATGACATGAAAATGGCTGCAATATTATCACTAAGGCGTCAAGCACACCATGATGAAAAGCGATTCACTAGATCCACTAAGCTCCCTAGAAGGTCGATGAACCTCTTATATGTACCTCCACGCAGTTTTGCCGGAGAGAAACAAAACAGAGTACAGTGCAAAAACTTCCACGCAGGCAAATACCTCAATAAGAAACAATTCCAAACTTTTTACACTGAGGATAGCTTCTTCACACTCTATTAGGAAACGTGACACAGTAAACTCCTTAGCAGAGAAAGCCGCCAAGATGAATCACATTTTAAAATATAAATCCTCTTCATGCATTAAACCCCACAGCAGCCGAGTCTAAGGAAGCATTTATCTTAATGTAAACCCACATCTGGATTTATGACATAACGCGATTGGTGGAACGAGTCATTATCGTCAACATAAACATAGGTCCATGTTTCGCTATCGCAGGATTGAATGGAAGATGTCGATGAACTAACGAGGCTTCTTACTGTGGTGATGGCTGAACAAAGTGACTCAAACAGGTCGGTCTAGCAGCGCCTTTGTTAACATTGCATACTTCACAGCTGTTTGATGGTCACGCGTGCGCATACCGTAGATATGAATGAAGTGATTGCACTACACCACAATTATATGTAAACATGCCCAGTTGTTGACGGGAAAGCTCATGTGATAAACTCGGAAGACGAGATGGCTCAGTGGTTCGAGAACGAATTTACTGACCGAAAGATCCGTGGTTGGAACCTGACCTCTGCCTCTCGACTTCTCCTGTCTAGACTTGGGGAACTTGGCAGTATCCCACCCGCAGTATTTATTTCGGATGGTATGGCAGTTAGGCACTAAACGAAAATAACAGCAAACAAACTACGCTAACAGTAACCGGAAAACGTGGAGGCTTACCAGCCAGGGCTGCTTCACTACCCAGAGCTCGATCATCCGCCTCAGCCCGTGTCAGGCGTTGCGTCAGCTTTTCGATTTCTTCTGTCAGTCGCTGTTGCTCAATTTCCTCCTTAGATTTGGAGGCACTCATGCTAAGCCTCCCGAATACCTTAACTACGGCAGCTTCCTGTTTGGTTAGTTCGGCTCGTAGATGTTTTTGGCGCATTTCAAGCTGACGAAGCTCGGTCTGTGCCGCACATTTCTCTCCATCAGCCATCCGAGCCTGCTCGGCCAAGCTCGCTGCCACGCCATCTTCACCGCTCGATAGTCCGGAATTGGCGGCCTTAAAGAGAACCAATACCAATGAAATTAGAACAGAAGGGAAGTAGTGTCAGAATCGGACGCAGTGCCACGAGGACAGACGTGGCGCACCGACTTCGGGATACGAATAAAATGAGTCATGCGCATAAATATCTCAGCTTCTGAAAGGGGGAAGTATCAAGTCCTAAGGACAGCTCAACACCATAGCTGGGTGGCTTTTGTGAAAATGGAATAATTTTCATCTATAAACCTATCCGAGGAGATTTCCGTACAACAATGATTCCCATTCTGGAGGAATTCTGGTGACAATCTCATCCCAGTGCTTTATGTTGAGTCCACTGTTTGTTAGTCTTTTTATAACGAATGGTGTATGACTATCACCGATAGTGAACGTTGTTGCTAACATTAAGAAAACAGGAATAATATGTTATTAACAGCAACGACTTGTTTCAGCTCATTGGTGTCTGAACGGAAGACTGCTCTTCAGATGGGGCCAAAGAATGGGTGGAGATAAGAAGGAAACGAAGATAACTCGCGAAAAATGCAAGCATATATTTTTTCAACCAAAAAACAATACTGCGGTAAGCGTTGAAAACGCACCTGCAAACGACGTTGCGCAGCTTCTAGCTTGGCTTTAGCGTCTTCAGCCTCTGCCTGGATAGCCTTGAACTCCTTTCCAGCTGCTGCTTCGGCCGCTTCATGCTTAGCATTCAATTGTGTCTCTGTTTCGGTGCACTGGGATTCCAAGTTCTTTATTCGCTGGTTAGCAGCACGAAGAGCTTCACTGGCCCGATTAGCAGCACCTTTCGCAACTGCTTCTGTTTTCTGACAGGTAGACATGACAGATTCGAGTTCCTCCAGGGCAGAACCCTGAAACTAGATGTTCAACAAAAAACTAGATACGGAGCTAACAAGTGACCCACCTCATCACGTTGTGCGCTCAGTTCCACTATACGCCGCTCGACGCTCGTTTTACCTTCTACAAACTGGGAGATGTGTCCAAAAAAGTATGCAAATCATCTTACCTGTTTCACTTTCTCTTTGAGCTCGCTTAGTGACCGCTCCAGAGCAACCAGGTCTTCTTTGCTTCTATGTTTTGCCGCCTGCATGGAGGACGAATTTAGATTCTCACAATGAAAACACACTGACTTCAAGACAATAGAAGTCGTAGGCAATGATGAACTTTTCTAAATGCGTCATTTCCCGAACAATATTTTGATATTCCAGATAACTGCTACGTTCTTCACGTAGTTTTGTGATTGTCGGGTTAATATCTTCACGCAAAACCTAGGAAAAAACTTGTAACGATGTCAGTCTGTGAACATACTCGGTCGATCTCTCGTAACTTGCCATCTTTCTTCTCGATTGTTTTGAGGGCCATCTCCTTTTTGTGCTCATACAATTTGGTGCTAGCAGCTTCTTCTAGGAGTGACAGGATCTGGGAATGTAATCAGCAACCAATCGATCAAGAAACTCACCTCTGGTGGCTTCATGTTAAGTATTTTTGTGATGCGTCCTTGCATAATTAGAAAATGTGGATTGTTCACATTGAGTTGAACAGAGTGGAATAGGTCGTGCACTCTAGTGTTGGTAGCATTGGTACCATTGATCAAATACTTGTTTTTCCCACCAACGACAATCTATTCAGATGAGTTAATCCATACCAACCTGAAAACTACTTGTCGTGTGATTGTCAGTTCATCGAATTGTTCATAGCCATAAGGAGACTGAGATTTATCCAGATTGTCGAACACAGCACTGACAGTGGCCTTTGTGATACCAGCCTGACCACATTTGTACACGAGCTCTTGTAAATTGGCGGCTCGCACCTGGTACTGTAAAGAAGCCTACGTAATATCCTACCTGCGACAAGTTGGTAATACCCAACAAAAAGCACACGGCATCTAGGATGTTAGACTTCCCCGAACCATTCAAGCCAGTGATTGCGTTGAACTGTGGATCAAAACCGTTGATCTCTGTTCGTTGGCAGTATGATTTAAACCCGTCAATAATTAACGACTTGATGTACATTGTCTGGGGTTTTCTGAAACAAAGGAAATACGCAGCTAGGGATTGGATCAGCACAAGTATAAACCATGTGCCAGAGTATAACAGTTCTAGCTGCTACAGTTTATTTCACCGGTGAACGGAATGACAACCGCATGTTAGCGGCAAGAGCCCGATTGGTTCATTAAGGTTAAAGAGTTCTACTTCTCCAGCAAGTCCTATTGGGAGGTAAATAAGTGCAGCACATTGATAACGAAGTTGAGGATGGGGGAAGACACTGGACAAGCCTGTCCGATACCAATTAATGCAGTGAACTTAAGTGAAAGTATATCGTAGATGTGCATGTCCGAGGAAGCACGCATACTGAACCCCCCGTAAAGCGAAAATCCACAAGGGACACTCTCCATCTACATTGAGTTCACCGCCAACTGGTGTGTGCACAGAGTGCCTATTGTGACCTCTCATCAAACTTGATGCACCAGAATGAATGGATTATCTGTCCTCGGTAGTTGCATCCTGCCTGGTGTCAGCATTTTAACAAGTTGAATGCTAGAATCGCGGAAATTGTGACAAAAGCAAGAAGAGCATCGGAATCAATGGCAGTATAGCCAACCTATAAAACCCAGTAAGACAGCATGAACGCGTGGCACTGGTCGGTCGTCATATCTTCAGTTGTCTTCATCCACCCAAAGAGACGGTTATGTGGATCCGTCCTGGAAGGCGAACAGTATACTCGGTGCCTACTTTCCGTGACACTCATCGTGCCATTTTGTCACGGATTCACGGATTGATACACAGGATCGAGGGTTTCGCTCAAGTTTCCTGGACCGCTTTTGTTCTTATCGTTCGGCGACTGGCGTTCATCTGAAGGGCACAAGCGAAAAAATGGTGTAGCACTCTTCCTTACGTTCTCAGTGTGAGGCGGTAAGCTTGCCAGCGCGAGGACTCACAGAGAAGTGTCTAGTGGTGCTTTGAACTGGGTTTTAGGAGGAAGGTTATGCCACGCAGCTACCACCCGAAGTGAGAAAAAACTGTCTACTGAAAGTCTACACTCTGAGCTTGAAAATCATCTTACCACGTCCCCGCCATGTGTTTCCTGAGTCAACGGTGAAAACCCTGCTGGCCAAACCTTGTTCAAATAGGGCGTAAGTAAGAATTAGGTCCCCTCGGAGGCGACGATACCCAGAGGGAAAAGGTCAATCACCGCGGAAGGCGCTTCGTAGTCCACAGAGTTGAGGCCGGCAACCGTTGTCGCAGCAGTTCGCTGAATACACTCAATGAGGGTTGCGTCTTTCGCGCGTCCGGAGTAGAAATTTCGGTTGAAATATTCAACTGCCGTCTGACTTAGGCCCCATAGAGTATTTGGATATTAAAGCGAGTAACAAAGGAGGTGCGATGTATCGTCCGTAGAACAGCGAATGTCTCTTGAGCCAACCCCTCATGTTGCGGTGAGGAGGACCTGTTAGGAAAGAGCGATATAGCCAATTTTCTCGGCATCTATCCCTGTAATGTAGCTACCACCGTGAGAAAAAACTGTCTACTGAAAGTCTACACTCTGAGCTTGAAAATCATCTTACCACGTCCCCGCCATGTGTTTCCTGAGTCAACGGTGAAAACCCTGCTGGCCAAACCTTGTTCAAATAGGGCGTAAGTAAGAATTAGGTCCCCTCGGAGGCGACGATACCCAGAGGGAAAAGGTCAATCACCGCGGAAGGCGCTTCGTAGTCCACAGAGTTGAGGCCGGCAACCGTTGTCGCAGCAGTTCGCTGAATACACTCAATGAGGGTTGCGTCTTTCGCGCGTCCGGAGTAGAAATTTCGGTTGAAATATTCAACTGCCGTCTGACTTAGGCCCCATAGAGTATTTGGATATTAAAGCGAGTAACAAAGGAGGTGCGATGTATCGTCCGTAGAACAGCGAATGTCTCTTGAGCCAACCCCTCATGTTGCGGTGAGGAGGACCTGTTAGGAAAGAGCGATATAGCCAATTTTCTCGGCATCTATCCCTGTAATGTTTCCTGGTCCACTCTCACCATGAACGACATGGTCGTTCTCCGAGTCTCCTTTGAATGATATATGGACACACTTTTCGCCATTCAGAGAAAGGTGCCAGCCCAACGACCACTCTTTCGCAGCGTCTACATCCATTTAGAGGGCACTGGTATCGGAACTCCAAGAGTCCAAGTCGTCCGCAAAAAGTGGACATGGAGTTGCAAGAACATCTGGAGGGTCGTTGACGAATATCAGAGACATCAAGGTCCCAGAACGGAGCCTTGAGGAATTTCAATAGAGACCATCACTGGAGCATACTTTCACTCGAAATGTGCTGTCTGATGGAAAGGCCTTAATCCAGCGTATAATTTATCCTTGGATCCCGCAAGTCTTAAGTTTGTGGAGCAGCGGGACGTGTGGGACTAATTTGAATGCTTCTGAGAAGTCGAAAAACATGGCATCCGACATGAGACCCTCATCCTTGGCTTGGGCTAAGCTGTCCATAAATACAAGCATGTTCGTCACACAAAAATGATTTGCGAGAAATCTGTGCTGAACTGGAGATACCAAGCTGTTGGAAGGTGATCTAGGATGGCTTGCTTCAGAATGCATTCCATCACCTCGCACGGGACACCAATGAAACTAATGAGCCTGTAGCTGCCAGGCGATATTCGCCTACCAGTTCGGTAGATTGGCGTAGGTTGTCTACCTCTGGTCTTTCGCCACTCTGAAGTGAGCACAAAAAAGATGAGCAACTACCAGGCGAAAACCTGCACCGAAGCCAACTACCGCTCGGCGTTAAGCGCTGCTACGACCAAGCAGCCCAACATGCAGGCGGAGGGCCAAAATCGATCAACTCCCGGCCATCTGCAGCAGGCTGAGCTATGATTTGCCGAGAGTGTAGACCTGACAACCAATCATGATTCAGCATCCACCCAATGGCGGTTGCCGGTTGCGCTTCCAGAAGACGTGCCAATTTCCAGATTATCGCCTCGTGCACTTTAAATTCGACGCGGTGCATAAATGCGTCTGAACTTGCTTTGATCGTTCTTGTGCCGAAAACACTGGCTTGGAGAATGCGACCGACCTGAGGCATCGCCAGCATTACATCACCCTAGTACACAATGCCGGATTCCATCCTGACGTGACCAACCTACTGTTCTGTGTCCTGCGTTTCCGAAGCAAATGAAAGTTCCAAGTTCACAGGAGTATAGAGGACGGAACTCGATTGGAAATCCCACCCAACAATAAGGGATCAGATGTACTGTTCTTTGAATGAATCATCGCGAGCGATTTGTATCTTTATGCCAGTGTCCTTTGGGGCATACTGCAGCCATCGGTTAGAGTACATCCCCAATATTTCAACAGCTCCAGATTTTCGCCATAGGGTTCAGCGATCCACTATATCCTTAAAATTCCTGATAACTTGCATATACTTTGCACTGCGTGGTGCGCCTCAGGTGAGTAGTTTAGTAATAGTTGACTCAGTTCTACTTGCCTAATGTCGAAATAAACGGATCGGTTATTCTAAGTTCTGTCCGACACTGTGGGTTGCTGCGTTCGCTTTGCGTCGAGCATAATGTTTAGGGAAAACCTGATGTGTTGTCCGATATTAACCCAAATATTTATCATTGTGAATCATCCCACGCTAATATATGCACGGATACTCATAAGAAGATGCACGTTTCATCGACCAGCTGCCTGTGGGTTGTGGACATTTTCGATGGAGAGCATGACTTCATTTAGATGCGTTTTTGTCAGAAAAATGCCGAAATTGTCGGAAAAAAGCCGATGGAAGCCCTTCCTCATCGAGGCCATACGCGATGTCACGCCCTCGGCTGCTTGTACCAAATGCTAGGCCCGCACCAAATCGGGTTGCTGATTATGGTGCCTTGACCGCACATGGCAGCCTACGATGGCAAATTAGCACCACAACCGTGTGTTTCACCACCAAGGCATCTCCGAGCCCGAAGATCATGAAATGACAATTGGAGAGGCATCTAATTTTACTTGTCCGATGCACTCGAACGGCGCGCTGTTCGGTAACTCCAAATATCTTTTTCCACAATCGCTCAACGATGATCTTGAAGGGTAAACAATGTAACCGCGTTCGTCTTGTGCATTTCCTGGGCACAGATGTTAAAGAGTTTTGACGTTATGAATTGAAAAGCGGTGCATTTACAGACACCAACTGAGATGGTAACCTTCGGAGAACACTTGATAGCATCACAAACCTACCTTCATTAACGACGCGACCAAACTGCCGAAACTTCGCCTTTTGGGCCATTTCTCAGTGTGCCAGGGAACCTGCTTGACAGCAAATACCATCACTCCATAACCCACCCGAAGAACACTCCTGTTTCTGTCCCGATATTCCAGTTTCTCACAGTGGTCAGTTGTGTGTACTTGCCACTGACTGTGCCCCGAGACTTTCTGAATGACACTTTGGGAGCTGTCGACTTTGTGAGCATTTCCAACTTCCGGTTTGTGTTATTGAGATGTTTGTTGTCATGTTAACAAATCTAACCAAAAGGGACGTTTGCGGATAGCCCGCCTGCGGATGATGGACAAACAGTGCGAGATTAAAAACCGAACAAAGCCTAAGCCGGTTCTCCGCAGGATTTAAAAATTGTAGCAAAATCTAAGCAGCTATTGTTCGGTGATCAATTTTTTCTCAATCGCAACCTCAGTCAGTCATGTGACGTAATACGCCGTTCGTGGTTAAAGATTTCCGGCAAGAGAACTTGTGATGAGTTTATGGAACGTGCGTTCTTGCAATGGCTGGCTTGCATGAGGGTAGCAGGGAACTGTCACAATTGAGCAAGGCTTTGGCATAATAATTTTAATACTGATTTATCCATTACGAATTTCTTACGCGGGAACGCCCTCCCGCCATCTCAGTGGACAAATTGAGCAGTTGACACAGAAGTGCAATGTGCTTACTTTCGACGAAGCCACCGGTCACCGGTCTCCCGAGCCGCATGCCTTCGGTCACAGGGAAGGTGAACAACTTGCACCTTTGTAGCAAAAGTGAAATCCTTTAGGAGATATGTTCTCCATAGGAGCTAAAGAGCCTTTGTAATTTTGGATCCCTACTCATGCCGCCCCAGGTGTGATGAAGTCTACTTCGTTATTGGCCACTGTTTACGTAACCGTCCCTTTTCCAGGGAATTCCCATTAATTACAACCCCATCAGTCATGCTCTTCTTCCATCTGTAATACTATGATCATTCTCGACAGTATGTTGCCCACTAGTTGGGAATATATATTATTATTATCAAAAAAATTCCTCAACGTGGTCCTCGCTTTGCATAGCGTCAACTTTAACGACGTCTGAGTGGTGCTGGAACAGATCATCCTTTCAAGTGGGTAGAAGGCGCAGGGCAGGTTCGACAAATAACACATTCCTCCACACGGGCAAACCCACGTTTGCGGAGCTTTCCGAGAATCGACAGCTTGCCATCTGCCTCAATAGGTAGAACTTAAGCACTGACCCATTATAAAATAGAATGACACGATGCTTCCGGACAGTGCTCAATGAGTTAGCGGAGAACTCCACACTTAGTTAGTCGCAACCCTGATTTTGGTTGATAGGAAGGCCGTCAAAAAGAACGTTCCTGATTATGTGTTTCTGCTCTAGGTCCTGAGACGCCACAATCAAGGGGTCATTATATAGGCGACTTCCAAAATGACTCCGCCTCAACATGGGCTTTAAGTACGTTTAACATTGATCAAAACCGTCACAGAGTTTTTAATAACCACCGTCAAATGTTGCAATTTCATGCTAATATCTCTCCTCGTCATGCAGTGGTTTCAGACAAACGACCGATGTACGACAAAGGGTTTTCATGTTCTTGCATTTCACCTGCCATTGAAACCTGGTGCTATTTTTATGTGTTATACCTCAGTAAACGGTTGGTTATGCTGCCTTGTCTTACCCAAACAGACACACAACCTCTGGCTTAATACGGTGTATCTGAAGTACCGTCGATATTTATCGATTACTGCTTGCTCTGTTTAGGTTATTACGATTTTCGAAGTCCACCACATGGTTTGGATTGCCCGTTGCGCATCTCTCTAAGGGACCGTTTTGCCTGAAGCCTCCCTAACCGATTTGGGCATATCTTAAACCCCAAATCCTCCAGCACCGCATTTCGAGCTGAAATGCTTTTCCGGGTCCGCCAAAACACTGTCGGTCTAAGTTTAACAAATGGGTTGCGCGTTGCTTACTCAACCACAGCCTCCTGCCTATTTGAGCCCGTATTTCAAATACGAGCAAATTTTTCACATAGCCCCAACCACCTCTGGGACAAGTACATTCTAACCCCATGAAACTTTTGTTCGCATTTGACCAACCTGGTTTTCTGCTGCGATTTCAGTTTGCTTCCCCAACAACTTTCAATTCCATGTACAGTGTTTGTTTGGCCCTATGCATTGGCGCTATCTTCTCGTCGAACCTATCCCATGCAACGACTTCCCTATAACAGTGGCACCAGTGAGCCTACTAGATTTCAGGTTGAACCATATTTTCGTGACAAAGCTGACCAGTTTCTTCTGCTTCGAATTATTCCATATCCATCTCCATCTTTGCTTGTTGTGACTCTCACCATTTACTCAACCGCACAAGACCACTCATGGCCACCAATGGTTCTCACTTGTCCTAGTTCCTATTGGTTCCTGCAACTAAGATGACTTTTCAGTTGACAAGCATGCCTTTCTAAATTTGCTCTATTTTAAGGTTACTCTATTCAAAGTCAAGTTTCGGCTTATTCCACTTTTCGCATTGCATCTATTTTTATCAAGTGCACCTAGCTACTGTAATAATCATCACTCTGGAAAAACAGGTATTTGTTAGCGCCTTTGACCTTCTGACAGTCAACTGTACGTTGCAGCTAGAGCAATAAACGTAGCACACATGCACAGAGAAACTTATCGCGCGATAGTACCTAGGACCTAGGTTTCTCACTGAGAAGAGTGGGAGGTGAGATTCCTTTTTACATAAGCATCCCCAGAGGAATCTCGAATAGATGCGGGAGAGCTTGGCCTTTCGGGATGTAGAAAGAAAGTCCGGGGTTAAATGATCTAAGGAATGAAGATTTCTATAGTGGACTGAATATTAGATAGATTGAAAGTAAAGACCGGCAGAGAATGTTTACTCTATCCTAATTTCGTCAGCAACTAGAAAAGGGGATCGGTGTTTAATTGAATCAGTGACATTATTGACGCATAGCGAGAACAGTAAGGGTGTAAGTTTGCTTGGTGATGGAATCGGTGAAGATATGAGGTACCTAATTTTAGAGCCCTTGGTTCTCCCATTGAGGTAAGAAACGCACAAGCGGGCCACTAACCGTTGTAGATTGTAGTTTACTGAGTCCTCTGCGAAGAACGTGGTTAACTGCCTTGCGAATATCATGAACTCATGCTATTGAGTGGTAAGAAACTTGGTGGTTGGCAGGTTCCTTGCTACCTCTGAGTTGCCTGAAGCAAGAAATACCCGCAATCCCTTCTTTGTTAGTGTGCGTTCTGTTACTGGCCCTACTTCTTTCCGCGGCAACATATACCAGCTTCTTTCCAGCTAGGTGTCTGCCCTGGGCCACTCTGTTCGCGCTGTTTAATCAGCGGTGCTTTGCCTGCCTAGCCCTAACCAAACGAAAGCCAGAATTTCCTACGCCTGAAAACGTATTATACGCCTCACCACCCATAAGACACATGCACACATAACATGAC